CCCCCCCAGGCGTACCTGCACCAGCCCCCGCTTGTACATGGCGCACAGGATGAAGAGGGAGTCGGCCGACCACTCGACGTGCTGGATCTGGTCCAGGCATGTGTACAGGTGGACGACCTGAAGGCTGCGCACCTCCCGGACCACCAGGCGGTACTGGACGCAGGAGGCCTAAAGAAACAGAGAAAAGCAGCCCTGAGGAGCCCAAGAGGAGCTTCGGGAAGAGGCTCGCCCTGCGCCAGGAATCCCGCTTCCTCCTCTCCGGTCTGACCTGGCTTCTATCCAGATGGTTCCATGTCCACCGTCAATTACGCAGCCCATTCGGAAAATGGGTTAATAAAGAGACAGTCGAAAAATGCAAACCAGGGGCTGAAACTGTTATACTTCAGCATAAAGTACTATTTTAAAACTCTCCACTTAAGTAATTTTCTGCTCCGTCCTTACTGACAGGACAAAGCTAAACGTAAGCAGGACAAGCTCCGGGAGAATCGGCTGTGAGCTGAATCCTCTCCTCTTTGTCACCGGCACACAGTCTGCAGGGCGCAGGGTCACAGGGTCACGGCCTCACGGCTGTTGGCGAGTGACCACAGAAACGATAGCTCCCTTTTGTACAAGCCCAACTCTTGAGCCAAACCAACAGAAAGTCAATGCATGAGTTTCAAATCCTGCAAATGTAAGGATGCATCATAAGTGCTCGTTTGCCTTCTGTGAGATAAAAGAAAATATATATGGCCTCTGCCCCAGGTCCTAGCACAGTGCTCCTGAGACCCTTGTAACCTCCTGGGTGACGAGGCATCTTTTGTTCTAACGAGGGGACTCTGGGTGGCTCCTGGATGGGGGCCGGTCACCAGAAAGACCAGGTCACTAGAAGTCTGGAACTTCAGCCCCATCCCTCATTCCCTTGGGAAGGGAAAAGGGCTGAAAGTGGAGTGAGTGATGGATGGTGCCAATGTGAGAAACCATAAAACCCCCAGGAGTGCAGGGTTCAGAGAGCCTCCAGGTGGGGGACACATCCACACAGGGAGGGTGACCACCCCAACTTCGGGGGGACAGAAGTTCCTGCACTCGGGACGCTCCCGACCCCACCCTACGTCTTTCTTCATCTGGCTGTTCATCCAGATGAAGGACGTATCCTTCATCACATCCGTTAATAAACTGGTGACACAAGTTAGCGGTTCCGAGTCCTACGAGCTGCTTTAGCGAATTACATCGAACCAGAGGAAGGGGTCGTGGGAACCTCCCATGTGTAGCAGAGTCGGACTTGCAACTGGCATCTGACTGGGGGCAGTCGTGTGGGACTGAGCCCTTCACCTGTGGGATCGGATGCTCTCCAGGTAGACAGTGTCAGAACTGAGTGAAGAGGTAGGACAGCCGGCTGGTGCCACAGAACTGCTTGGTCGGGGGGGGGGGACCCCCACACATTTGGAGACCAGAAGTGCTGTGGGTAGTCGTGTGACGGTAAGGAGGTGGGGGTATACGAGGTTTTTCTTACACACCTTGACTTACTTCCAGTACTGACTATAAAAATGCTTGTGTCGATACTGTTTTCTGAAAGATACAGTTTCTCTGTCCATGTTAGTATCCGTATCCAAGCAAGTAACTTCTGTCTGAGAATACTCCTCTGCTGACTGTAGATTACACGGCAGTGTAGAAGTCAAGAGCCCGTTTCTGAATGTTAATTACTTCATTTTTGTACTTACCAACGTCAAACTAGGTAATGGGTTTGCGTTTTATGAACTTCCATTAAGAAAAAAAGCCACCTGAGTTTTCCATAAAAGAGGGAGCGAGGGAAGGAGGGCTGTTGCCGTTTAGAGCAAATACGTATCAGGACGTTTATTTTTTCACATTGTAGCTTTGAATACTGTGTCAGTTACAATGAATTGCCTATGAGATGGAACATTTGTACCAACTCTTGGGAAAAAAGTATCAAATCTGTTGCAAGATATTAAAAATGGCAACATGGACCTATCTTCTCCAGTATTTAAGACAGAGGGTTGGATTTTTTTGGTTTGTTTGTTTGTTTTAAGACTTTTTGTTGATTTTTAGAGAGAGAGGAAGGAAGAGGGAGAGAGAGAAACATGGATGGGAGATCGGAATATCAATCACCTGCAGCCTGCACGCCCCTTACCAGGGATCAGGCCTTAACCAGAGCATGTGCCCTGACTGGGAATCGAACCAGCAACCTTTAGGTGCATGGGAAGATGCCCAACCAACTGAGCCACACTGGCCAGGGCTAACATAAGAGTTTTGAAAAACAGGATTCCACTAACATGACCATCAAGTTGATCAACAGAGTGTAAAAATCAAAGAAATAGCAAAAGTAAGCAGAAATGTAATTTTCGTCTTTTAACACTCGCTGGAATTTTCATAAATGGTTTTTCAAAAACTAATCTATGGGAGGGGGTCACTTTGAAAAATGTACTGAGGTTTTTGGAGTGCCCTCTAAGCTAAAGAATGCTCTACATTTTGTAGCTGAATGCTGTTTCATATGGCTTTGAATAATACCTCCATAAAGAAGGCAATCATGTCATGTTTTCAAAGACCTAGACAAGAATAAAAGGAATGTTGGTAACGGCTCAAACGGAAACAGAACCATGAAGTGTCAGTCAACAGAGGATAAATGAAACTAAGAACACTTTGTATAAGATGTGATTCTTTTTTTCTTAATGGTTTTCCAGTGACAATTACCTCCCACCCACCACCCGACCCCCACCCCACAATTCTGAGGACATACACTGGTCTCGTTAGTATATTTTTCGAAACATAGGTTTCGTGTACGGGACAGCTCTGTGACTTCGGCACCATTCTGCTACCCCTGGAATGAAAAGCTTGAACCCCAGTGGCGCAGACAACTATCCTCATCTGGACACAGATGCCAGTTGGTTAAATCGTGTATTTGGCATGTGGTAGAGCCAGGAAAGAGGGCTGGAAAAGACGTCAAAAACTGGCTGCCCCACTGCCCCCCTTACAGCCGACAAAATTGTGTATTTGCCTTTTTGTGGCAAAACAAGAACAATGAGCTGCTGTCTCCTGTGTCCTCCAATGTGTAAAAAAGGCACTGCTTTTATCTGCCTTCGACGGGTGGATGCCCAGGTGCCGTGCCCAGGTCACCTGTCTGCTGCCCCTGCCCAGGTACCCCGTCTGGGGCACCTGCCCAGGTGCTGTGCCCAGGTCACCTGTCTGCGGCACCTGCCCAGGTGCTGTGCCCAGGTCACCTGTCTGCTGCACCTGCCCAGGTACTGTGCCCAGGTACCCCATCTGCTGCACCTGCCCAGGTGCTGTGCCCAGGTCACCTGTCTGCGGCACCTGCCCAGGTGCTGTGCCCAGGTCACCTGTCTGCTGCACCTGCCCAGGTACTGTGCCCAGGTACCCCATCTGCTGCACCTGCCCAGGTGCTGTGCCCAGGTCACCTGTCTGCGGCACCTGCCCAGGTGCTGTGCCCAGGTCACCTGTCTGCTGCACCTGCCCAGGTACTGTGCCCAGGTACCCCATCTGCTGCACCTGCCCAGGTGCTGTGCCCAGGTCACCTGTCTGCGGCACCTGCCCAGGTGCTGTGCCCAGGTCACCTGTCTGCTGCACCTGCCCAGGTACTGTGCCCAGGTACCCCATCTGCTGCACCTGCCCAGGTGCTGTGCCCAGGTCACCTGTCTGCGGCACCTGCCCAGGTGCTGTGCCCAGGTCACCTGTCTGCTGCACCTGCCCAGGTACTGTGCCCAGGTACCCCATCTGCTGCACCTGCCCAGGTGCTGTGCCCAGGTCACCTGTCTGCGGCACCTGCCCAGGTGCTGTGCCCAGGTCACCTGTCTGCTGCACCTGCCCAGGTACTGTGCCCAGGTACCCCATCTGCTGCACCTGCCCAGGTGCTGTGCCCAGGTCACCTGTCTGCGGCACCTGCCCAGGTGCTGTGCCCAGGTCACCTGTCTGCTGCACCTGCCCAGGTACTGTGCCCAGGTACCCCATCTGCTGCACCTGCCCAGGTGCTGTGCCCAGGTCACCTGTCTGCGGCACCTGCCCAGGTGCTGTGCCCAGGTCACCTGTCTGCTGCCCCTGCCCAGGTGCCCCGTCTGCTGCACCTGCCCAGGTGCTGTGCCCAGGTCACCTGTTC